AATATAAAAGATTATTATTAATTAAGGAAAATTAAAATATCTTATTGTTACATATTTATTAAATCACATGACATTGGATTAAAACAAAATAATAATTTATTCTAAATTTTGATTAAAGCCTCCAAATATCAAGATTGTAACAAACAAGTACATATTTCAACAATCCCCTTTTGGAAACTCCCCATAGAATGAGAAAACTAGCCAAAAAAAACACCCAAAAGACCAAAACCAACTTCCCATAGAATGAGAAACTAGCCAATAAAACACCCAATGACCCAAAAGACCAAAGCCAACTTCCCATACAATGAGAAAACTAGCCAAAAGAAACACCCAAAAGACCAAAACCAACCAACAAGAACGAGGAGTTGGGTTATAGCACCATGAACCAATGAATAAGGCTTTCGCTTAGTAGGATAATTATCGAAAAAGACGGCGTAAAGTTAACAAGTATATGATAAATTAAGATCAAACAAAGAATTTACTTTGTCGATATATCTTAATTTTAACTCAAAGAAAAATAAAAAAGAACATATTTGGTGTATTTTAACTTGTTTTGAAGCATGAAATGAAGTATTTATCAAGACACAAAAGAGAATAATGAAGGAAATGATAATAAATAAAGCAAAATCTTAGATGCATATTACAAAACAATATAAAAACCTCCATCACATATCTCAGTCAGATTATGTGCATTAAAAAAACCCCATTAACTAATCATCAATCTAATATACAAACCCTTTTTTCCTTCCTTTGCGTATGGAATAGAACTCTCATCTCATCTCATGTATCAAAAGTCAGCGACTTTCTCTCTTTCTACCATCATCTCTTTCCAAACCCTAAAAATCTGTCTTTTTCAGCACCCATCAAGAACTCATCCCCACGTATACTATCAACCAAAAACAACCCCCCCCCCAAAAAAAATCTGAAGCTTCAAATCTTCACGTCAGTTTGGTGTAAGCGAACACAGAAAATTGGTTGGTCAAGCCAAGATTTGTTGGGGTTCTGATTCAGTTCTTTCCATTGGTTGATAATGGAGAACAATTATCAAGGCGATTTAGCAGACATTTTCCGGCCAGGAAGTGTGAACTCTGGCGATCCTCCGGGCGTTTCAGATTGGCAGTATTTCGATCAGTCGTCTGATCAAGAAACACAGATGATCCAAAAGTCAATAAGAACCCATGAGCAAGGTTTTGGTCAACCCTTTACCAGTCTCCTTACAGATCCACTCATTCATGAAGGAACATCAACTCCATGCTTCTTTGGAACAAATCTTGATGATCTTGAAGAACAAGTAGTTTCAGCAGCAAGAACACCATTAGAGTATGAGGATCACAAGATCAACGACAACAACAACAACCACAACCATAACCATAGTCATAACATATTCTCAAAGATGCTGCAGATTTCACCAAATGCTGTAAAGTCAACTCTTTCATCAAACAGTGATATCATGATCACATCTTCTCCTTCTCCTTCTCCTTCTTCTTCATCTGTCGTTCCTCCAATAAAGCGTTGCTTGCTGGAAACTTCGTCGGCCACCACCTTACAGATCTCATCACCACGAAATCCGGGCATCAAGAGAAGGTAAACAACTCGATACCTTTCACATATTTTAAATTCTTTCTTATTGGAAACTGCTTCAAAATGAATAAATATATAGGGGGATCATATATATGTATATTGCTTCATTAACTCATACTCCTATATATTTTTAACTCACTTTTACAACTTCTATGGTATTTTTTACTCCTCTCTCTCTATATATATATACATATGTACATTTCTTTGTTAGATTTAATTATATAAGAATCTTGCATGGTGCAAAAATTACAATAAATTCAATCAAATATAAGATTTGAATACCATTTAATTTGCTTTGACTCAAGTTTAAATCATTCTGTAAATCGCACAAAAATTGAAAGATTGCTTCAAGAAATGTAGTCGGCAATTAATACTTAAAAGACAAATTAATTAATTAAGCTTAATTTTTTGAAGATATATAATTTAAATTTAATCATTTTGTAGCTC